ACAGTTGACGAGAAGGACCATGAGTGTACCTCACGCCTAACCCAGAAGATGCTGCGTGATGTGTTTTCAATTGAAAGGAGGAACATGGTCAATTAGTGCATATCTAGTGTTTGTAGGAGAAACTGATGTAGAGCGTGAGTATAAAAACATAAATTGTTAGTCGATTAGAAAAGAAATTCAAGCTCATCGTCTATGTTTTGCCAAAACATTTTACATCAACCTTGCTCATTTCCGCCAGTCGTAAATTTCAATGATATCACTATTACTGTTCTCGTCTTTCTTTCGAAGGAAAACTAAATTATTTCGAACGGCAATATCGGTGAAATTTGATGACAAAACGGTATTTTGATCATATCGTTTAACGTCATTATCGAGTATGTAACAACATTTGTTTTTCTTCCGATGGAAAAACAATAACCAACCAGATTTATTCGGTAAACTAAGTAATCGTGTTGTCTCAAACATATCATAATAATCTAATTTTACACGGCGAAGCGTTGACATACCATGATTTTTTAGTTCAAAACAGAACACTTTTATCGATGCAGATTGTTGGTTGTTAACTTTTTCAATTATGAGTGCATAATACAGATCATTCATCCGAATACATTTTATTTTATCTCCCGATTCACATGAGATTGGTGGATGCCAACAAATAGGAGATTGCCTATTAGAGTGCCATTCTCTATTACTTGCTGTCCACTTTTCAATTTTATCTTCGCGAACGATTAAAATATGCCGTTCAAAACATGTCAAGGTTGTGATATTATGATGCGAAATAGCACTTGAGACTACTGTGTTTTTCAAGATCTCTTCACACGTTCCATAATTTGGATCAAACTGATATAGCCTATTCGATTCACTGGTTTTACCACTATATTTCAACACTAAAAATTGTTGCAAATAGTTGAACCAATACAGTTCGGTAGCGTTGCTTATTGAGTACAGGCTTTGCCATGAATTATTATCAATATTTAGAGCAGGTAATTCGTTTTCAGAGTAAAATGCAATCAATTGATCACCAATCGGACACATTCGGCCAATTTTCATTGCTGAAAGATCAATGGATATCTTCGGTTGTTGTGATGTGAGAAGTTGATCAACAAAGTAATAAGTCGGAGCTGGTGGAGGAGCTGATTGAACGATTGATTTGACTAAGACTAATTCATTTGGAATTTTATTGATGCTAAGTTCAATGGGAAAATGTTCTATGTCATGTTTCAGCTGCTGAAATTTATTTTTTAACTGATCAACATCATTTTCAAAATAACTTTCTTGTTCTCGTAGTGCATTTAGTTTATCAGATAGCAGAGTAAATTGTTTCTGTAAGTTTTCATATTCTTTCAAAGATATTTCCTGTAGTTGTTTACGTGCGCAAGCAGCTGATTCTTTGATCAGTTCAGTTATTTCTAATTCCCATTTGTTGATTGTCTCTAGTTTTTCTCTGATGCCAGCAGACAATTGCTGCTCGTAAGATGTTGAAAATTTTTCTTGCAATGCATTTCTTTTATTGACAACTTCATTCTCAAGTAAATCGGTCAGATACTGTCTATGTTGTACAGTATGTTGAGAACAGAAGTATTTTTGACAACCCGTACATAATAAGATACCTGATTTTGGTTTTTGTTCAGCAGGAACTGTCTCACATGTAGCACAAAGCTTCAATGGAGAGGTACTAGCCATTATTTATTAAAGAAAAATATGTGCGTTTTCATGAGATGTTATTTGTTCGTAAATAAAATGTGATGGTGAATTGGTGAGTAGAGAAAAAAAATGCTTTTACAGCTTTAAGTACATCTCTTTTTGAAAAAGTAAAAAGGAATACTAACAAAGTAACACATGATCACCATAACTACTTCTCATGCATATGTGAACATGAATAAAATCAAGTTTAAGTATAATGAAATTGCTTTAAATTTTCTGTTGATTATAAAGTTAACAAATTTATTAGTTTTCTCTAAAACAATGAAACTCGATAGTTAACTTTCAAAGATTTGACTAATGAGAGTGCATAGAGACCATGAATCAGTTTACAAAAATTTAATTAAAAGTTATTTTGTCTAAAGAAGAATTGCTCCAATTTATAGAGGGCGTAAGTTTTTTCTGAATGGAGATTTTCGATCTCAAACAATTTGCTGTGCTGTACAGGCCACGTGACCTCTTTTTAACCAAAAAACCTTTTAATCTAGACAGAATTGACGTGATATGTCGAAGGCTCTACATGATATGAAGAAAAAACTTCGTATCATAGTACTTATCAAGTTTTATATGAGACGAAACTATCGCTTGTAATAACTGGATGTGGATATGGGTATGGTTGGTTGTGTACTGGAAGAGAAGTCGTTCACTCACACCCATATTTTAAAGTCATCTTTATTTGAAAATTATTTTCTATATCTTTTTTGTTTATAATTGCTCTTGCACATCGATCACTTCGTATCCATTTGATGTTTGAGTCTTTATTACCATGACAATTAGACAATGTGTTTAAGTTCGAGAGAAAAAGCTTACAACATATATAGTAATAATGATGAATAGTAAACTCGATAAAATGCAGTTAGTTTGAGGTGAATATGGGCGTGAGTGAAGGTGTGGATGTAGATCTTCTTTTCATTCACACTCACACCCCACACCCGTCAAAATTATTTTTGAGTCAGTTACTTATGTTGAAGTTTGATTAGTATAGATGGAATTCGTTCATAGTGAAGTCTACCACTAGCATAGCTTTTAATCTGAAACTAATCTCAATCAATATGATTGTCTTGGTAAGAAGCAGATTATCGAAAACCAACAATTGAATACATAATCTGCGTTTTCTTTTGTTTGTGTTTTGAATAATGCCTTTAGATCATTTTTGAGAAAAGAAATACGTTCTAAAAGTCATAGAGCATATTCATAGAACGAACACTGACAGATATATACATGAGGTGTTATTTTCTTCAATTATGAAAAATTTTTTTATAATAAAAACCTTTCTGAATTTCTAGAAGAAAGATAATGGTGAAGATTTCTTTTAATTAATACACAATGAAATTTAACTTAATATATTACTAATTATTCTATGCTCACAAGTCCTAAATTGACTTGTGAACATCTGGTATTTTTTGTTATTTAAATTATCAGCTTTTCTACTTTGTTTTAATTTAAATCTAGTTATCTTTCCTCGTTTGATACATCATACTTTCTTTCATAGTTATATTACATGATTCAGAAACAAACTGACAGTCTTTTATGAAATATAAATAATATGTAAAATAGGAACAAAATATTATTTGTCAAAGTACAAATGAAAAGGAAGAATTGATGAATAGAAGAATACATGAGTGTACAAGACAAGTTAAATCAGTAAAGTAAGGAGCATCTTTCAAAATTTCTATATATTCATCGTTTTACATACTTTATAGATTTACAACAATCTACTCACGAGGAATATTAAGTTTCATAAGTCGATAGATCATCATAATTTCTTTTATGACATGTTGATCTCTTTTCACCTAATGTAGTTTACTTGAGAAAATTTCAATAATTTAAATAAACATATAAATAGATTGTTTTTTTAATAGATATTTGACTTTTTTATTTAATGTACATCAAAAAGACAAACAAAAACATGAAAAAAAAGTTTCTTTCTTTAACAATAGGATCAAGATTACGATCACTTCAGATGTTTTATTCAAATTAACATTCTTGGCAGGAAGTTGAATCGCACATAATAATTGACATTGTCTTTCAATTAATTCTTGAAATATATATGTTGATAAAATATCACATGATCTGTTTCGTTTTGTTCCCATATACAATGCCACAGGAACAAATGAACCTGTTGTCAAGTCATAAACGATATATAATGACCCAGAATCACCATTTACTGCAAATTCAGTACCTTCAATCCATTCAACTTCAATTAAATTAACATAGCGAATCTTGTCTAATTTTGCTTTCGTATCAATTGCTTTAATAAAATCGACTGTTAAATTTGTAATCGCACCATATTTAAATATTGGTACCTTTTTTTGGTTTATACTTAGTAAATAATGATTTTAAGGATCAAACATCAACATTTGTTGGGTTATGTGTCTGTTTATCTGATGTAGCCTGGAAGTTTTCATTGTTTGAGTCGTCCAATGATAAAGATTCACATAATCCCGGGTCTATCGAAACGGCTATCTGTATTTTCACTGTCAATAGGCTTCATACGGCACCGTGAACGGACCGTATTTTCTCGTCATCTTGGGTACAGTAATACGGCACCATACACCGGGCCGTATTTTCACACCAAACGGCCATATACAGGCCGTATCGATTGATCTGGAATGATTCAATCGATGATTCTGATGACGATAAAAATTCATTACAACTATCACTTGATAATGTTGTACAATTTAAATTTGCAATTTTACAATACGAGATTCCTTTTATTCTAAACAATGCAGCATCATGTTTTAATTCAATAATGTCATCCAAAACAATAGATAAACTGTTAAATAAATTATTGCTACACTTCACTTCAAATTAATTTTTGTCTACATTTTTTAAAGTATGATTTGCTATAAGAGCATAATGATGCCTGTTATTAATATTTTTTTTATAAACAATGAAATATTACCTTTTAAATCTACACCAATTTGGTAAATGCCTGAACCATAATTTATATCATTATCACCGCCTTCTAATATGAAAATATCATCATCTGTTATTGGTTGATAATTAATATTAATAGAATCATGTTTTAACAAACAATATAATTGTTGTTGTTTTTTGTATATATTATCATCAATATTATTGTGATTCATATCATCATTAGAATTGATTTTTTT